GAGGGTTACTCTCAGGGATAGGGTTGCCCAAGTAGGTGTCGTCCCTCCGCCGACCTGGGACATCCGTCGTCTAGCTTTGCGAAACCGGGGTGTTCAAACGCGGTAACCATGCACGTAAGCACCCAAGCTAGAGTAGACGGGAGGGAACAACACTGCTGTAGCAGTGCCCCACCGCTGGCGAACCGTAAGAAGAAAGCTCGAAAACGTAAAACAGTAGGAAAGTCGGACAGGCGCACTGCTGTAGTAGCTGTAAACTCAGGAAACGCAGTACAAAATAGCATCCAAGCAGGACAAGTAACTAACAAAGTTGCCAAAGCGGTCGACCTAGCGCCGCAAGCCTTGCACGTTGCTGCTGTAACTGGTGTAACTGCGTCTAAGCATCGATCGCGTTTATTATCGGCTGAACATAACAAGACTGAATTCCAAGCTTTCCACATGTCTGCATTGGCGGGGTACCCGGTGGGTCCGTCCATATTACAGACAAAGTCGCGTCGGGTTCGTGTGCCCGCCAGCATAAACAACCTTGAGGTTGATGAAATCACGATAGATACAGCGTGTGATATTCCATGTATCTCGCATCAGTTCATGCGGAAACACCAAACGCTGAAAAACACGGAGATCTTACCCGTGCCTCCCGGGGCAATCAATTTGCGTAGTGCAGATGGTTCGCCTCTCAAACTCAAAGGATACGCCCGTTTTGACTTAACGTTGGGAGAAATTACCCTGCCTGTTGAAGCGCTCGTACTTCCGTCGCTGGGACCTGACAAAATGCTACTAGATAATAGTATTATGGGTGCATTCGGTGCTGTACTTGATTGGCAAGCGGAACAGCTGACCTTCAAGACATCAAAGGTGAAAATACCTGCCCAACACCGAAAAACTCGTCTGCCCACATCCAAAGAATCAGAGATGAACTGTTCAGTAGTCGCGTTAGAGAGCGATACACAAGCGATACCAGTGTACCTAACAAAGAAGTGCACAATACCCGCTCATCATGAAATGGCAGTAGAGATACACGCAAACGATGCACCCGACAGAACCATCACGGCTCTGGTCGAACCGCGAATCGCCACAGAAGACGATATGGAAGCGTCGAGCGCACCGCAAGCGTTCCGTAGAGCGATAGTAGCGCGTACAGTGTGTAACTGGTCGCCTCGAGGCGCCATGGTTCAAATTGCCAACCCCTCTAACCGACTTGTACGGATACAACGGAACACTCTTTTGGGTTACATACGGCCTGTCAAAGCTGTGCTGCCGCAAACGACGAGTAGCGTAAACACCACGACAGCAGAAGAGACGGCAAAACACCGTCAAGAATTGGAAAAAGCATTATCGAAAGCTTTCCAATCCACTACCTTCTCACCAAACCAATGCGAAGAAATACTTCAACTGTGCACCAAGTACAGATCAGTTTTCTCCTTGAGTTCTGAAGAGTTAGGAAGATGCAATATCACGGAAGCCGAGTTTCCAATGCCACCTGGCACAAAACCAGTTAATCGCGCCCCATACCGTGCTAACCCGCGTGTACAAGAGGTCATTGACAAATGTGTTGATCAAATGGAACAAGCGGGAATCGTCGAACAACGAGCGAGTCCGTGGGGTTCTGCAGTAACGTTAGTAGCTAAAGCTGACGGCTCACCTCGCTTCTGTGTTGACTACCGGTCCACGGTGAATAAGAATTTAATTCGAAAGTCGTGGCCAATGCCTGAAATGGCAAGTCACATTGACACCGTAGCTGGTGCAAAATACATCACTGTTTGTGACGTACAAAGTGCATACCACCAAATTCCCATTGCCGAAGCAGAACAAGATAAGACTGCATTTGTAACGCGGAACGGGAAATGGGTCTTTAAACGACTTCCTTTTGGAATCGCCAACGCCCCTTTTCTTTTCCAACGCACAATGGCATTGGCCTTTGCTCACTTTGGTCCGAAATCCGGTCTTCTGGTGTACATGGATGATATCATCTGTTGTTCATCTACGTGGGAAGGACACATCGACCTGCTAGAGAAAACTTTTGAAGCTCTCAAAGCAGCTGGACTCACTTTGAAACCTAATGGATGATATCATCTGTTGTTCATCTACGTGGGAAGGACACATCGACCTGCTAGAGAAAACTTTTGAAGCTCTCAAAGCAGCTGGACTCACTTTGAAACCTTCGAAGGTGCAGTTCGGGCCGAAAGAAGTAAAGTATTTGGGGCATGTCCTCTCATCAGATGGCATTCGCTTAGGTGATGATCGAATCAAAGCAATCTTGGACCTACCGACACCTAAAACTATCAAAGAGTTACGGTCAGTGCTAGGAACGGTGAACTATGTCAAGCGATTTATCCCAGACTTAGCAACCATTACCGCACCGTTGGTGGACCTAACCAAGAAAGACGCAGTGAAACATGTGGCAAGACGTTGGGGTCCGGAACATGACCAGGCATTTGCTGAAGTGAAGAATCTTCTCACCAAAGCACCTGTGTTGCATTTCCCGGATTTTTCTAAAGAGTTTGTGGTTCACGTCGACGCATCTGAAGCAGGAGCAGGAGCATTCCTGGCGCAACAGAATGGAGACGACTTGAATATCATAGCGTACTTTAGTCAACGCTTCAACAAGAGTCAGCAACACTACTCAGCCACCATGAAAGAATGTTACGCCGTTGTACTAGCAATACAACACTGGCGACCCTACTTGTGGGGAAAACATTTCACCTGTGTAACCGATCACGCCGCGTTGCGATACCTCTACACAATGCAAGACACGTCAAATATGCTCACCCGTTGGAGTATTGGATTACAATCCTTTGATTTCACGGTAAAGCATAAGCCGGGAAAATTGCATGTAGTACCAGACACGTTATCGCGCCTCTTTGTTTTTGAAAATGAACAGGACCGCTTAACGCATAGTCTGGCGCCGATCTGTCGCAACGTCCCAGACGATCCCAAGCTTCACACGAGCATTCCAAGCAGACCTTTCCAAGTGTCACCAAACAAGTTAGACTCAGTCCAACCTGTCCTCAGCGACAGAGAGTTGTTCAATGTCGAGCCAAACTTTGTGAGTGCCGCCGAAGTTTTTCAGTCTGTAGATCACGATATGTTATGCAAAGCTCAAGCCAAAGAATACGGGGACTATATCCAGTACATTTTGGACGAGGAAGCACCGCTACCGCAAACTGAAACGGCAACTACAATGTCGTACTATTCTATACAGAACGGGTTGCTATTTAAGTCGTACCTGCCCGGTCACCTCCGGAAACGTAGCACGTTCCATGATCAGTTAGTGTTGCCTCAAGACCTTACCGGCTTGGTAATGCACGCCTATCATGATCATGCACTTTCTGGGGGTCACTTAGCAGATCGACCAACATACGCAAAGATCCGACAAAAGTATTGGTGGCCGACGATGGCTCGCGATATCCGCAATTGGTGCCGTAAGTGCCAAGCGTGCCAACGCCGCAAAACACCACACCGACGACCAAAACTACCAACCGGGCATCTACCTGTCCAACGACCGTTTGAACGGATATCGGTTGACTTAGTAGAGTACAAAACAATCTCTATGTCAGCAGTTGGGGCGCCGTGCAAGTATGTTCTATCCATGATGGACCACTTGACCCGTTACGCCATCCTAACACCGATTCCAAACAAGACGGCTGAGACAGTAGCTAAAGTGATCATAGATCGAATTATAAGCACATTCGGACCACCGGAAATGTTGCATTCTGATCAAGGCACTGAGTTTGAGAACAAGGTCATTCACCAGTTGCAAACGATTCTAGGATACAAGAAGACCTGCACGACGCCATACCGTCCGCAAGGGAATTCTGTATCTGAACGTGTGCACTCGACGATGCATTCAATGCTCGCGATGCACAGCTCAATGGGTCGAGACAACTGGGCGGAGCTTTTACCAATGGTACAGCTAGCGTACAACACATCGTTTAGCGCTACAATGCACGAGACTCCGTACTTCTTGATGTTTGGGCGTCAAGCACGACTACCAGTCGATGTAATTCTCGGAATTCCGCACGTGGGACCAACCATGGATACCGAAGAAATTGCCCAAAACACAAGAGACAATCTACAAATTGCTTTTGAATTAGCGCGCAGGAATCTCACCGAACGTG